AGGTCACCACCAGAGGCCAAGCCAGGCAGCCGACCGATCCTGGCCAGGACAAACTTACCACACTGAATGCAGTGCTGCCTGCTGACTCTGCGTCACTGACAATAAAGACGTCTTAACCATGAGAAATGCACTAGCCTAGAAAGGATCCAAACTATACGTCCCCTGCCAGCTTGAGTCTAGAAGTCCTACAGTGCAGCCATGATTCAAAGTTAGCCAGTTTGGATTCCTAAAAACGCTGCACGTGGCTAGATGACAATTCTGGTGGCTTAAGATGAAAGCAGAAGTGAAAGACTAGGTAAATAGCTGTGCTACCAGGAAAATGAGGCCAGGAAAGCCCCCTGGACGTCTGCAACAGGTGGCAAGCCCCAGCCAACCTTGGGAAGAGATAATAATGGATTTTATCATAGAAATCCCAGAAAGTGAGGGTAACAAAATAACCTGGACAGTCATTGACTTGTTTTCCAAGCAAGCCCATTTTACTGCCTGCTCAGGGTTGCTGTCAGCAAAGAAGCTAGCGAAGCTGTTCCCCAGACCGATCTATGTTTGCACGGTGTACCCAGGAGAATCATCTCTGACCGAGGAGTCCAGTTGACCACCAAATTCTGGAAGGAGTTCCTGTGGTCCATCGGGTCCATGCAAGGACTTAGCTCGGCTTTCCATCCGAGCACAAATGGAGCAGCAGAATGCACAAACTCAATGGTGGAACAATACATCCGTTACCAACAGAAGAATTGGTTGGACCTGCTACTGTTCACAGAAGTAGCATACAATGATGCTGTGCATAGCAATACTGGATTAACTCCCTTCCAAGTTACCAGCGGCATGGTATTTGTCCCCATACCTGAACTGCCCAGAGAACCCCCCCTCTTCAATGTCTTTAATTGAGTGGATGGACTCTCTGAATAAAGGGTGGGGGAATACAAAGAAAGCCCTGGCACATGCTGTGGATGAATATACAAAACAGGCAGAAAAGCACCACTCACTTCAGCCCTCTTTCCATGTGGGAAATAAAGTTTTTCTATCAACCAAATATATACGGTTGAGGCTGCGTAGCAAAAAAATAGGACCTACATTTTTGGGTCCCTTTCCAATAGTGAAAGTAATTAACCCAATGACAGTTCAGCTTAGCCGCCCCCAAATTCTGGGAAAGATACATCCTGTTTTCCATTGTAGCTTGCTGAAACCTGTGATTGGGTCTAGGTTGAGATCTCAGATCAAACCATCCCCTCCTCCTATAGTAGTACAAAGAAAGAACCATCATGAAAGAAATATTAGACTCCAGATTGTATAGGGGTTGTTTACAATATTTAGTACAGTGGGACCTCAGGTCCAGAACAGCTCAGATTACAATTTGGGTGCCGACCGAAAAATCCACTAAATGTTTCACTCACGTCACAAACACATCCTTGGATGCCAAATAAACATAGTCACGGCAATGTTCCTTGCCGCAGCAATTTCCCCTGCTATGCCATATTTTTTGTGTGCATGTATGCGCAGTCAGTCTTGCTTCTGGTCATGAAAAATTGGGTGCAAACCAAAGTCCTGGAACAGATTACATTCAGCACCTGAGGTCCCACTGTACATTGGAAGGGGTACCCGTTATCTGAGGCTACATGGGTAAAGAGTTGGAATGTGAAAGCTGAGATTGGTTAACCAATTCCATGATAAATTTCCAGACAAGCCAAAGGGTCCTCCTGGGGGTGGGTGGGAGAGGTGGTTAGTTATATAATGTAAACCCCCTGCATTACTCTCATTACAGAATACGCTTCTCTTCTGAGGGTAGGCTGCCTGTCAGACCTGGAAGCCATCTTCTACATTTTGGATTTCAGGCCTGCCGTGTTTTCTACTGGGGGAAAAATGGGAGATTATACAGACCATGGGTGATATGTAGCCATAACATTCTTTCTCAGAAAGTCAAGGTTGCCCTGCACCTGGATGGATGTGGATGGGAGGAATCTTCCTTCATGGCAATGACTGACTGGACCATGTAATAGACTTATGGGTGTTGGGGCAGGGTCTTAAACTTTCAATTGGATGGGAAAACATGGAAGCTTTTAGATTTGGGTTTCCCAGATGTGCCAATATGACATCTCTAATAAAATGGAACTTTGAGGAAACTCAACCCTTGGGGTCTTCTTTCACGGGAGGGGAGTGTTAGTTGGAACCCTGACAAATAGGAAAAGAGAAAGTGCACCTCCCTTGGTTTCAAACAGCCTTTCTTCTTGGGGTATGTGTGTGCGCGTGCAAGATAACTCCTCAAAACCTGCCTCTGCAACGTACATAAGGTGTAAGACTGAAGCTTGAGCCCTTGTCTCTTCTGTGATTTTAATTTCTTTTGCTAACCAGCATGGTATATCCTGTTGGTGCTCCACCCCTTCTTAGCAATGGAAAGTCTGGCACTGTTCTGACCTAGGCTTTCCAAGAGCATGAAGCAAATTTCTTGGCTCAACAAACAACCCTTTTATTAAATTCTGCTCATTCACATCCAGCAAAGTCTTTCAATGGAGGATTTACAGTGACAGACCCTATCTGGCTTGGAGAGCTGAAAGGCCGATATCCGCAAAACTTGGCAAGGAGTCTCGGAGAGTCACGAACCAATTAAGTGAACTATTTGTCTCCTGCAAACTCCACTCCCCTTTTGCTCCTCTTCTATTTCCTCTGGGAGGGGCCATTCATTGTCCACCTGTGGCCTTGTTCCCAAGTCGACCCCTGTTCTTCTGCTGTTCCCTTCATCTGACATTGGGAACAGGCTTCAGCTGTTTGTCTGCCACACTGATGTCTGACTCTGAAGGCAGCTGATAACTGGCATACGGCTCTGTACCCCTCTCTGCCTCTGACACAGAGCCCTCATCAGAACCTTCCCCAGACTCCAAGAGTGGCCCATGTTCCTCCCCAACCTCCTGTCTGAATCACTACTCATGTGACCCGGAGGAGACAGATAAACCTCCAGGTGGCTTCAAAGACTCCCAAAAAAATGCAAATGACCAGCTGTCTGCAAGGACTAGGAATCCTTCCATCGCCCACCATCCAGTCAGACCTGAAGAAGCTTCTTGGATGAGAAGAGAAACATCCTCAAAAACAAACCAGAAAGTCTAGTTGACTCCTGAAGTAACAGACCCAATGTAATCAAAACTCCGAGGCCAAACTGCTCCTGAAAGATTTATTAGGCATGTCATATTGGCACATCTGGTTTTCGCCACCCACATTAAAAATCAAAGTTCAAAGGTTATATATAAAATCCCCACCCCGGAGGCTGATCGGAGTTTTTCTGTATTCAAAGACTTTTCTTTCTCTCACGGATTGCTTTGATTTCGGCATTGCAAGGTTTTACTGCTTGGCTCTTTGGTTACGATCTGATAAAAGTCCACAGTTGTGAAAAACAGCGGTCTTTGTGAACGTATGTTTTAATCTTGTTGACCTTCTAAGCAAAAGCAGCTGTGTATGAATATGACGTCTCCAGATAGCGTAGAGGCTTTGAACTTGCAAGGAATATTTTCAGAAGTGCAAAAATTATCAAATACAGAGGAAAAAATTGAGAGGAAATTGGAATACTTGGAGCATTTAACAATAAAATATGATGAAAAAACTGCGGATGTTTTTTAAATGCAAAATAAGGAGACTGAAACTCAAAAAATGGAAGATGAATATAAAGAGATTAAACTTGTTGATATTTATGGCAATTGGTTTATTTCTGAAAAAAGAAAGAATGGAATATTGAAAGAGGAATTAAATCGAGAGGAAATTTATTTCAAAGGGCAAGATATAGAAGAAGAAGAACAAATTAAAGAATCTATGGACTATGAAAACCTATCTGCAAAATATTTGATACCACTGCTGCCAATCAAAGACAAGCTGAACAAGGAAACAGAAAGAGGGCATCAAGAGTACATGAGAGTTGCTAAGAGGAGTCCATACAGATTTGATTAAGAGGATGTTTGGAGGAGTGGTTCCACAAATGGCAGAAGATACAAGATTGTTTT